GTATGTAAAAGAAACCATATACCATAGAAAATTTCGGGTAACCGCGAGCCATTTTTCTGCGAAGCCCCGTTTGTCTTCGTCCGCAGTAGAAAATCAAAGTTTACCCATGTGGGCCGGCCTTGCGGACCATATGCGCGCACACACACACACACACACACATACACGTGCGGAACCCGAAGCAACGTCGCATTTGAAGCGTCACGACCGACCGATGCCGCGGGCAAACTTTTCTTTGAGTTCTGCTCAAAGATATCCGTTATTCGTGATATCTGGCATATTCAAATGATGCACAATTTCCACAAATCCCCGTCTCGCGCGAATCATCCAAATTTTTATACTTTAACTCACATTCACGCGGCTAAACGTAATCGTCCCAGCTTATATAACCGGTACTGAAATCGCATTAGATATTAAAAATGTACTGCACTGAGAAAAAAAAATCGTTGATTCAAAGAAATATTATTTGATTTAACTAAATGCAGCGGTCACGGGCTGTCAAGCTAACATTTGTTAATTCAAAAAATATTATATTGAAATAAATTCAGAATTTCTTAATATTACTCACGTATATTTGATTTAAATATATTAATATTTGCATTAAACAAATCACTACAACTAAACGAGTTTAGTCAAATTAACGACATTTTTTTCTCAGTGTGAGTATCGGATATAAGCGTCTTTAACGTTAAATATGAGTTATGGATTTCTGTGTTCGTACGCCTTTAACGTATACCAATGTCTTTCGTGCATCAAATTGTTTCTTACCGAGGCTCTTCATTTCTTCGCGGCACGCATCACGGCCAGACATTCCGCAACGGATGAAGAAGTTCGCCGCAAACTATTACGTCAATCAACCGTTCCTTCCCCGAGAGTTACTTTCGCCGCGTGACTGTTACTGACGTAAGCCATTCGCGCAATTAGCAACGCTTATACAGCGATCTTTACTCCTGTTTTCGCAGTTGCGAAATAGAACTTCATATATGACTTTACGGAACTATAAGATTGTTACGCAAGTTCTCGTGTCGCAATTTATTTCAGAAAATTGGTTACAAGACTACTTTCGCAGTTTTCAAATCTTCATCTCCTAAACTCTACAGCCAATTAGTCCGCTTGCAGAATTTTTATGGAACAAATAAAGTTTTAATTCCTCTTCGAAGAGAAGGGATTAGAAATTCCTGATACGTTTCTGAAAAAATTCTAGCAATTAGGTGCAAAGGTTCCGAATCTAAATATCTAGAGATTTTGAAACGAGTTGTCGACTTCGTAGGGGTAGTTTTTAGAATTTCAGACGTATCAGAACTTCAAAATTAATCCTGATGTATAATAGTATACTCCTTATCCATGAAAACCGCGAAGAATGATGATGCCCTATCGACAAGTATCGCAAATGTTGATTCGTTGAAATTGCCCCGAAAATATTAGCCTCGAAAATTATTTCATTCGCTGACACGTACGACGTATTTGCTACAGAAGAAGTACGCGCGCGTATACTAATCGCAGCTGCTAACTGCAACTGCGCTCGGGGGATTAGCATCCGGATTTACGCACCCGAGCCATACGCAAGCAAGGTACCGCCACGGGGGCAAGGTGGTCTTCGTGGGCGACGTTCGACGGGGCACGAAGAGAGCGAGAGATCGATAAAGCGCACGTGCTCCACGCGGCTGAGAGTCCCTGGTTGGAAGTAAGTACGGTGGGACTCAGCTGTCGCCTCCTAATTGCCGGGACAATGCAACAGATGGCTTTGATCGCAATCCCTACCCTACACACTCTTCCCGCTCTCTCGAATTCTCCTTCGTTCTTCTTCTCTCCCGTTCCGAACAACGTTCCCCTTTCTTCCGCCGTCGTCGCCGTTTTTCTCGCATCCTTCTTCGCGGGCATCCTCCTTCCCGCCCGCGCCGATTCGATCCCGACATCTCGCGACTCCATGTGTTCGATTTCATCTCGACAGACAAGCGTACCACTCAAGGACCGAGGACGTCATCCTCGGATTTCATCCTGGTCACTGTTCCCGTCTGATCGGTTGCACACTTGAAAGTTAACGCGTCACGATGCCTAATGTCTTTCTTTTTCAACTTGGATAAACGCGCGGAAGATGTATTACGCGGCCGTTCCTCTAAACCTTAATTAAAAATAACTGGACTCTGATAAATCTTCTTCTGATCTTGCTAGCCCATATATAGATATCAAAAAACGCTAACTGTGGTTTAATTTTATTTCCTGTCTCTTTCCGAAAAAATGAATTACACAGAGACAAAAGATTAATTCAGCCTCGATTAACTTCAACTGTTATGGAAACCGACTGTAGAAAAAAAAAACCGTTAAATGACCTAGTTAACGTTTATGGAAACGGGGGGTTGCCACGGGATAATTTCGTTATCCTGAAAGATATCATGCATAATTTACTAAACATCGCCTTCAAAAGAGCTTAACTGGTGTCAACCCTCGTCGGTATACATCTATAAACTAAGTAACGTCATGAGATTTCGAAGCGATCGCGTCACTTGTTTGCCCTATCGTGAGCCCTTTCAGTTTTACGAAGATCTTCGGTCGCGCGGAGGAAGACGGACATACTACGCCGGGGACGAGCTCCAGGTCGTAAGCCGCACCCCGTAAGCGCAGTACGCGGTGTGCGGGTAACTATCGCGAAATACACCTCGAACGGCGTAGCGTCGGGGATGCTGCGCCGCGGCGGCGCGGCGGCGCTGGCGGATATGATATCAGCCCCGAGCAGAATCCCAGTGGAAGTGTCGGACGTGCCTTATCGCGTCTGGACCAGGCAGTCAGGCGGCGCACGAACCTAACCGACACACACCGGGCCAGCCAACCAAGTTGACTGACTGCTCGCAGGAGTTTCGCCATCATCCCCCACGGAGGCATATACTCTATACATATATATATCTTTCCTCTCCCTCTCACGCCTTCGATCTCTTGCATTGCGCGCTTTCGCATACATATCCACGCGTGTACGTGTACGCTTCTGTGCACCTAAATGCGTACTAAAGACCGCGATAAACTTGTACATTGCTGCCAAGCTCTATTAACTGTCAACAAAGTACGTAATGACTAATGTAAAACAAAGTTTTGCTCCTAATTTCCTCCTAATTAGGAGATCATTGTATCATATGATACGTCGAATGTTTCTATTACATTTTATTAAGTATTTTTTAATTATATCAATCGGTGGCAAACGGCATACCTCGCGTCGACACTTCTATGATGATTTTATGTAACGTTGCGTCCAAAAACCATCTACGATTCTGAGACGAGCGAAGAGGGAAAGAGAGACCGAGAGAGAAAGAGAGAGAGCCCGCGCTCGGACGCGATGACGGGCTTTGATGTGCCAGAAGGGGCTTTTTTCCTGAGCCCCGGTTTCCAAGTTAGCTGCGGGCTCGCCGCTCGTCTAGATAACCGGCTCGGGCTGAATGTACGATTCGAGCGAGAGCGCGCGTGGACTGGATATACGGGTACCGCCATGCAATATTCCGAACTAATGTACGACGCGCCCACAGCGTGGGCTCTCGCGCGGACATCGGCGAGGTCGTTCCTTTTAATTTCCAGTTTCGGGGATCGGGGTCAACTTCCGGGGGACGCCCGTCGGAAAAGGCTTATGCAGACTATAGGATCGGATCTTTGAAGTACTTTTGGCACGATTAAATTAGAGCTCTGGTCTCCCTTACTTTTTAAAACCGACGAGTGACAAAATGTTGAAAAAGAAATTATATATTTTCATGCTGGTATTATATGTACGTCTATTTTGTTCGTGTTAAGCTTTATAGACTCTGCATCGGTCTGCCGTGCGTATACACAGTACACTTCAATTAAAATTTTATTAATTTTTACGATTTCTGCTGCTTGTACCCGTTTTAATTAAAAAAAAAAAAAAAAAACTTAATAATTTCGTCAGCGATTTAAAATTGGCTGTCACATAGCAGAATCTTGGCAAGTGACAGATTGTGCTATGTAAGCGACAGCGTGACGGCTGACAGCTGCGCTAACAACGAGCACTGAAAATCCGCGTTAAGGACAGAAGGAAAAAGGTAATGTACCGTGATGCAAATCTGAAATTAGATAAACTGCACCTACCCCGCACCTGTACCATATCTATATAGTATCCATATCATCGACGCGCTCTCGAACGCCGCCGCGCCCGAGAAACGAATATATCCCGAATTAATAGAATAGCGAGCTCGCGCCCGTGCGATTCAGCTGAGGTATCGAGCGATTTGTTTTTTTTTTACGGTCGTGCGATAGATCAAACGGGCTAGAGTGGCCACGTTGTTAATTTTTAAACGACACGTGTCACTCCGCCGACACGTTATTACAATATATTGCCGACTGTGATGGAAGTGAAGAGGACATTAACAACTCGGAAACGTCGCGTATACTATCGGCAACGAGATACTTCCTGGAATCACTGCGTCATAATTAAACATGAAGTAATAATGATGACGCAATCGTTCGCGCTAATAGCGGCGATTAAAGTTTCATGTATTTCAATTTCAATCCTATTTTTGCGCTTTTTAATGCGCGCAACGAAGGGATTTTCCCCGCAATAACCACCGCGTATCGCGAAACAACAATCTACTTAATTCCACTATGTCACGTCAAGAATCTGTCAATACGTCAGTTTACATTTTGCAAAGCATGACATTAAGCGAAACTAGACCACGGCGAGGAATCGATAGGTCAATTCAAATTGATATTTACATTGGCAAATAGGTTTGACCTGACCGATCGATCGTTCTCCAATCTTCAAGACGGTAAAAATATTACTTTCCGAAAAAATCTCGTCTGCTCTATAGAGCAAAAATGACATTAACATATTTTAAAAAGATGAAATATATATTTTTCAAGATAATCGATTTTCTCGTACCGCGTACGAGGGATATGGTATCTCTTCAAGGATGCGTGGGCAGCACCTGTCACCGAGTCACTGTTGTGCCTTCTGCCAACGTCACGCAATCGATATTTTTTCAGCCATGCGTGTAAAATGTACTCACCCTTACTCTTGGCCTTGAGGTCGAGGTCGACCGGGAAGGAATCTACGGCGTTGGAGGCGGTCGTCGGCGGATGGCAGATAATACTGGAGGACTGCAGAGCGGGGGTGGCAGCGCCAGCGGCAGCGGCAGCGGCGACAGCGGCAGCGGTAGCGACGACCACCGTGGTGGTCGTGGAAGGATTCGCGTTCACGGTGGAAACACCGTTGCTGTTGGTGACGGTCGTGGTGATCGCCGTCGCGGCCGAGACGGTGAGCGTCGCGACGGTCGCGGTGGTGGCCGCCGACGTGGACGACGGCGAGGCCTGCTGATATCCGCAGCATTCCTTCGTCTCTTCCTTGACCTTGACCTTGTGGAGGACCGTCGTCGTCGCCACTCCGCCCTCCACTTTCATGCTCGCGAGCCGCTTTCTCACCTGCGGGCGGCGACATATAAATTAAATGCAAATTGCTCCCTCATGTTGGACTCTAGGACAGTTAACGGGAACCGGTAATAACTAGCGATGATGCAATTAAGAGACACTCTAGTCTAGAAATTTAGAATTCGAAGGAAGAAACAAAAAGAAAGATAGGAGAGAGAAGGAAATAAGAAAGGATAAAGAAAGGCGGATGTTATCCTAATTCTTTACTTTCCCTTTCTTTTCTTTTTTCTTCTTTTTCTTCTACGGAAAGATTCGCAAGAATCGCCAAAATATTGTAATCGAAAATTACCTAACAGTCTCTTCTATCCGTGGACTTCCACGAAAACGTGTACCACCTACTTTCGACCGAGATTCCGGACGCGGATCGACGCGGTCGCGGACGTTCGGCAAAACGAGCAAGGAGAGACAGCAGGGCACACCTATATGCACGTCATCGCGCGTGCACACGATTCATATTTGATTGATTCCATTTCATGAGAGCGTCGCGCCAGGCCGCATGTTTCGTCTACGTGCCCGGCGAGACGGGATCGTTGCCGCGCATACCGATGGCCGTTTTAATGGAACGTACGGACGTTAGTTTTACAAACCAACAAGGATCTGTCCGGCGCGGGAGCACGGAATTATTGGGGATCCGCGGACGCTGCCGCCCATAACTGATCGCGTCCCCCGCGTCATTTTTAGCCGCGCACGGCCTACAAATGGACCATCGCGAAAAGCCTCCGCAAATGTTCGCCGGACTGGAGCGAATATTTGCCGTGTTGCAAATGATTTCTCGCCTACGTATATTCTTCGCTAGAGTAGAATTTTCGTTTGAGAACTTGATTTTACTAGAAGTCTTCTCCAAGAGAAGACTTAGGCCCTGCGCACAATGGAGTATATACCAGGAACAGGAATAAATATAATTTATTAGGATATATAAATATAGGAATATTCCTGTAATAAATATTAAATATTAGGACATGTTAATGTAAGAATATTCCTATAGTTATATTTTGTATGTTATTCTTTTCTTATGTGCGTTATGTTTAATTATTATTTCTAATTCCGATTTCGAATATTTAATATATTCTTATTCCTATAATATGTGCTTTACTGTGCGCAGGGGCTGAAAGATTAAAAGCTTCTTTACTATAGAGAAAATTAAAATTTGAAATTGAACTTCAAATCTCTTGAATCCGTATTGAAGTAAATCATTAGGTAGCCTAGTGAACTGGAACGTCGTTTACTGTCTACTGCGGACTTGCATCTTATATAAATTATTGGAAAACACTTTTGAAATACCTTTTCATTACAAAGTATACACTCAATACATCTATAATAACGTTATTGAAAGATCCGCAATTCCCACGAACTAATTTCGCATGAGCATTACAATTTAATGTGTGTTTTAAATACTTTATATCATTAAGATTTTCATAGCACACGAGTTTTATTAAATCCCTCGGGGTAGAAAAATCAAGAATAAAATAGAGAATACGATTTTCTTATTAAATTTTCGAGCAACTGGAAGTAAGAGCTTTTCAAATACAGCTATTTTTAATTTGTTACAGTGCAATTTTTCTTACCGCCGCCGTGATGTTTGCCGGTCACGAACACGCACAAGGAGTCGTAAACATTAAGCATAAAGATTTACATCGGCTTGACAGGTGGTACCGCGGTGCAATACCGCGCCGCGTAAGCGTCTTGCGTTCTGTACGCAACGCCCCGCGTACTTCAGCTTCTTTTCTCCGCTTACGCTCGCGCTCGCGCGCTCCTTTTCTCCACCTCGTGCTTACGCTGCAAGATCTCGTTTCATATTTATTACGGTAATCGCGTTGCTGAGACTTTTACGAGCGCGGTGCTCCACGCCGACAGCTACGTCCGGCATTAAAAGTAGTCGAACGTTCGGTTCCTTTTTTCATAATTCCGCGAAAACTGCGCGCGAGAACACCTACGAATAAATTTTGCCACGAATTACCGTCGCAATTTTAGAGATCGTTAATTGTACTTGTGTTTCTTGCATAATATGCGATGAATTTTCCATTAGTAAGAACACATGATATAATATTGTACATATAAACTTAATATTTTTATTTTATATAAAGCATACACATATCAGAGATGAATGTATTATTATTTCAAATTAAAGGCAATTATATTACTGTCTTATTGAGTTTTTTATCTCTAGCTCTATGTGAAGGTATCTTTCTGATAAATAGAATTAATATATTTGTACGCGTGAAACACGTTAAACCGGATGGTATCAGTGATATTATCTCAAACAAGATCACGTGCATCGGTATACCGCATTTCGTGCATTCGGTGTCCGAAGACAAAACCATGTCACCGGAAATGGCATGGCTGTAAGGAAATTGAATGGCATTCGTTTGAATGTAATAATCATAACGAACAATCCGACAGCTGCGCCATTTTTACTGA